TACATTTTCCTCCCACGTGGCCTCAGACACACAACCTGCCCAGTAGCTGCCCCTGGATCCCAGTCTTCCCAGTTGCTGGCACCTGGACATGACACAGCACCAGTGCAGTTGTGGCACAGACCCCCAGGAGCTGGCCTTGGACATCCCCAAAAAGCAGGGACATCAGTGCCAAAAGTGCTCAGGAGAGCTGCTCCCGCTCCCTCGTCCTGATGGCCCATGGGGCTTGGGGGTCTCCTGAGACAGCCCTGGAGTAGCCCAGCCATGGTGTCCCCTCCTCTGAGCCTGTAATTCGGGTTCCCATGCGCCGTTGTGCCTCTGATGGCTCCTGTGATGGGCCTGGGAGCAGCCAGGACAGAACATTATTTGGGCTTACCCACCCCCATTGCTTCTCTGTGGACATGCAACATGATGTTTATCCCATAACCTAACACTGGTAACCAGGGAAAATACTGGGCAGATCTCAGATCAGTCCAGGGCCTGCAAAGAAAAAGGGAGGACTTCACAAAGAAAACTAAAAAAACCAATGTACTACCTGCATGCTATAGATTTTGTGACATCTTTTTCTTCTTAAATCACATTTTCTCACCCAGGTTGTATGACTTTGTGCTTTCTTAGTACATGGCACCTCATAAAGCTTTTTCTTGGCTGCATCTTCAGCGTAGAGCTCTGCTACAGTGAGAAACCAGCCCTGGAGAACATGTTACTCACAGACCTGAGCAGGGAGGACAGTTTGTTGTATTTTTTCCCTGACAACATGTATCCCCTATTTCAAGAGTCTGAAGAAGAGAGTGATATTCATCAAAATTACCTTTTTCTTCTGCGATAGTTCTTTTTCTTTCAGGCTGGTCATAGCAGCATACCTGCCCTGGACAGTGAAAGAGCTGTGCATGGGGAGGGATGCCCTCCCAGATACCCCAAAACACCCAGCATGTCTGGAGGTGGACTAGCAATGCCAGGGTCGCCATGGGACCATGCCAGCCTGGCACTACTTTTGGCAGCCTGTGTTAGCGCTCTAGCCCTGGTCCCTGCTCGCTTTTGTAGCTTGCAAACGGGCCTCAACTGGCCCCAGTAAGGATGCTCCTCTCACCATAATGAGCTGAACCTGCCTCCAACCTCTGCAGATCTCTTCCTATGACTTTCTCTTGCCTTCTGGTTTTTAAACCATCCCCAGTTTGTGTTCAGTGACAGCTTCCCCACAGGTTCAACTCCTAACACTATTCCCCAACCCAAGCTAAACCCCTCTGCTTTGCAGAGTTACTGCCGAGACCAAGCAAATGCTTTTTGTTGATATGGTGTGGTTTGCTCCAGTATGCTAACGTATGGAGAATACTGTTTGGGAAGCCAGTTCATTTATACCACATCCCTGCAATAAATAATAGTGTCAGCCCCCAGGAGAGCAACAGTGCCCTGCTGAAGCAGCCTGCTCACGGGTGCTCACGTACGCCATCTCTCAGCAGCAACCTTGTGGCCAACTTGGCTCTGACTCCAGAGAGAAATGGGTTTGCATGTCTCTGGTTTCCTGTGGGCGCCGCAGCATTAATTCCTTCAATTTATTGGATCTATAGCCATCTCCGAGACACATGCTCTCATTTACTGCATGCAAGTTGTCCAAGAGAGGAAAACCAGAGGAAATGAGCACCCAGGGAGCAGGCAGTGGGATGGCAACAGCTTTGTCACGTGTCCACCTGGCGAGTGTACTATGCTCTGGACCATCTTCAAGATGCTCCGAGTGCAGCCTGGGGGTAACTACCCCTTCTCATGTGATCCCCCAGTCCCTGAAAGCAGGATCATATTCCCATATTTGCACGTGGAAAGCCCTGATCAGCAGTTCAGGACTCAAGGCTGCTCTGTAGTGTTTTTGTTGAAATACTACCTGTTCCCAGGACTTTCGGGGTTTCATTTCTTTTTCTCATTGCCAAGGCCATCTTGTCTTTGTGGCTGTCTTTGGGATTCAAGGGAACGATCCTGCACATAGTAAAGATCCTGCATATAGTAAAAAAGAAAATCACCTGCAAAAAATATGGTAGTTGTAACACACAGTGTAGGCCTTGGGGCAGGTGGTAGTCTCATGATGCAAGATGGGGACACAAGCTTGAACTGGTCTCACCTTCCCCCAACTTCTCCCTTCCCTACTCTGCAATTTGCTGCCCTTGGCTGTGCTGATGCGGGGGGCTGTTCCCTTTCCAGCTGCAAGCAGCAAAGCACATCTGCTTCTGCTAATCCCAAATAAACCAACTGTAGGCAGAGAGTCCTCGGTGCTGAGATTGCCTACAAAGTGGGTCAGCTCAAAACAAGGGGAAAAGTTTGATTCTGATGCCAGAGAGGAGACAGAAATCCCCACTGTGAGGAAGGGAAAGCTAAGCAGCGTGTGCGAGACAGGCAGTAAGAGAAGCAGGGAGGAAATATCCCTGCGGGAAAGCTCCCACACCGGGGAGAGACAAACACACACATTGGACTTGTGAGGAGGGAGAAACCGCTCGAGCGGTAGCCAAGGAACAACCAGACGGTGACAAACACATCTGGAAAGGGGAAAAAAAGCAGGGATTTAGTGCAATGCCCCGGAGATGAATTGAAGGTCACAGCGTGAAGTCCTGGGAGGCAGGCAGGGGAAAAGCACCCAGAAAGCACTACTGGTGCTGGGGATCTCTCCAGCAGAAGGGGAAATGGCATCTAAAAGCCAGGAGCAGGCAAAAGCCTCCTGGTAGGTGCAGTGGGAGGGACAACTCGAGCGGGCAGCTGGTGCTCTCCATCGCTGGTGGGGAGGAGGACAGGGGAAGGGCTCAGGCTGGCAGGGCAGCCCTGCTGCGTTTCCCAGGCTGCTCTCCGCGAGTGCAGGCAGCAAGGTTGGGGCGAGGAAAGAGGCCCCACCTCCGGAGGCTCAGCAGTTGCTCTGCTGGACACAAAAGGATGAGCCAGACACCAGCACACTTGCACAGGATGCTCTGCGCCAGCCCCCCTCGTCTCCTATGCAGGGGCCCGGGGGGCTGCTCCTGCTGGGGCCGGCTGCCCACCCATGCTCACCCATGCAGGTAAGGCTCTGCCAGTTGGAGCTGGGAGGTGGGGGAAAGCAGGCAGGCAGGCCTGAGGGTGATGGGAAGCAACACTGGTGGGGGACCCCAGAGAGGGCACAGGCAAGAGGCCGCTGGGGTCTGTCCCCTTCTGCAATGAAACCTCCAAACACCCCTGGCATCACCTGGCAGACCAAGGGTGGATTATTGTCTTTGGAAAGCTGCTTCGGGGAAACAGGTTCGCCCTTGCGGTGAGTGTGAGCGGCTTTCCTGCAGGTGCTCTCTCACCTCTCTGCAGCAGTGGGCTGCAGCAGGCTGGACAGCCCGTACACAACTGTCCATAGCTTTCCCCTTGGGGAGCAAGGAAATAGATAAAAGCAGTATTAGGATTTCCCAATGCTCGCAAGTGCTGTCTCTGTCAGCAGCAGGCTTGCTCAGGCTCAGCCAGCTGGCTTCAAACTATCCAGCAGCTTCTGAACAAGGGTGCTGGGGGATACTAGTAAATCAGCATCCAAAGAGGAATTCACTGCACCCCTCGTCGGTGAGAGGAATGGGGCTTCTCCCTTTCTCTGCTGGGGTTTGCGAACAGTTTTGCCTTCCTGAAAGGCGATTGCTCAGACGCCCTCCTCCCCAGCCTTGCTGCAGTATGGGGAGTAGATACACATTGATCTTCAGACCCCTCATGCAGCATGAGCTCCTTGGGCTATTTTACACGAGCGTGTGAGAGCAGGGCAGAGCCCGCTGACCCACTTGCAGAATTGTAAAGAGCACTGGTGAAAATAAAACCGTCACGGGCATAACCTCCCCTCCTCAGTGCTGCAACGGCCCATAAACAGCAAACCCACTGGTTGCTGGCTGCATCTGGCTCATGGTCAAGGTCTGATTTTAATTATCTTCAAACGTTCTGCATAAAAAAGGAGAGTAGAAATGTGGTTGCACTGCTCCTTCTGTGCCTAGGGGCAGGAGGCAGCTTGGCTCACCCACATCCGCTGTTGGCAGCACACAGGGCATCTGCTCTGCTGAGCCAGCCCAGAGGGCCCGTCAGGCAACTTTCCCACCTTCACCATCACAGCTCCAAGAAGATGTCCTTGGTTTATTGTGCTCTTGCTATTTTTATTTCTCTGGAAATGCTCTGTGTGGCCAGGTGACCTTTATTAAGATCATATTTTTTATACTGCATGATTCTGCATTAACATGGACATTTTTTCTCTGCTGGGCACTCCAGGAACGGGAGCAGCAGCTACTGTTTGCTTGGCATTGTAACACGTGAGCTCCTTAGCCGTCAAGAGAAACAGCCACCGGATCTGAAACCTGGCAGAGCATCAGGGTCTCTGTAATTATTAACATCTGCATTTTGTTTCCTGGTGGTTCTGTATTTAAAAAGGCAGAAAAATAAGTTAAGTGCAGAAAATAAAAATCCATGCTTTCAAATAAGCATTGCAGCCATGAGAAGAAGGAAAAAGCAGATGAGATCTAAGCATAAATCAATGTGACCAAAGACAAAACCAGCTATACATTAAGAAACAGCTGCCTGGTTGCTTTCTGCTCCTCATGCCTGTCCCCTCCTGCTCCAAAATCCAGGTCTCCTACAGCAACAGCCCTGGGGGTGGAGGAGCCTTAGAGACATCCATGCCTGACGCAGGTGAGGAGCATGGCAAGCCCAAAGCGCCCCGAATGCCTGGACCAGGAGTACCCCCGTGGCAGCCTGGAGGAGAGGAAGGGGGTCCGATGTGCACTGCCTGGAGAGGAGGGTGACGGCAATGCTGATGAGGAGGAAACCAAGGAGAGCAACCACAGCAGTCCACGGAACGGCCCAAGGGAGGATGTGCCTGGGGACCTGCTGTGCCAGGAAGGTGATGTCTTCTACAAAACTTTCACCCTCATCAACACTAACTTCCTGTGGCCAGGAAGCTGAAGCTGCTGGTGAGCCTTCGTGCCCTGGGTGGCGAGCCCAGACACGGGGAACCCCTGTGCCAGCAGCACCCATCCCGGATGGACAGCGGGGCCACCGGGCCCTGTGGCACTGAGGACACCGCAGTGACCCTGGACAGCAACTCTGGGGAGGAGTCCGGAGATGGCCGCTCCAGCTATGTCACTCAGCGAGCGTCGGCTCTCACCAGCGCAGAGACCATCAGGCCAGGAGGTCCGCAGAGGTCCACCTTGGAGGAGCATCCCTACAAGTGCCAGCAGTACAGGTAGTCCTTCAAGAAGTCCAGCAACCTGCTGAGCCACTGGGAAACGCACAGCAGGGCCAAGCCCTACATCTGTGAGCTCTGCGGCAAAGCCTACTCACACCAGGGCACACTGCAGCAGCACCACCTGCACATGGGCAAGCGGCCCTATGAGTGCCCCTTCTGTGCCAAAACCTACACCTGGTCCTCAGACTACCGCAAGCACATCCACACCCACATGGGCGAGAGGCCCTACGGCTGCGCTGACTGTGGGAAGGCCTTTGCCCGCTCCTCCGAACTCCACAAGCACCAGCACAACATGCACCGCAACAACAAGCCTTTCCCCTGCCCCCGACTGTGGGCGCACCTTCAACAAGCCCTTCTCCCTGCTCCGCCATCAGTGGGCACACTTAGGGGCCGTGCTGTTCCCCTGCCCCGACTGCAGGAAGGCCTTCGCCGTGGCCAGCCGGATGGTGGAGCACCAGCGGGTCCACACCGGCGAGCAGCCCTTCGCCAGCGCCGTATGCGGCAAGGCCTTCGCCAAGTCATCCAACCTCTTCAAGTACCAGATGCTGCACACGGGTGAGCAGCCCTACGAGTGCCCCGAATGCAGCATGGCCTTCGTCCAGTCCTCCTGCCTCACCCACCACCGCTGCACCCACACTGGCGAGCCACCCTTCGCCTGCCCCCACTGCACCCACGCTTTCACCCGTGCGGCCACCCTCAAGTGGCACCAGCAGCTCCACGGCAGCTCCCTGCACCGGTGCGGCACCCTGCCGACCCCAACAGCCCCTCTGCACGGACTGCAATATCTCCCGGCACGGTGCGGAGGAACCCTGGCCTCCCCAGCATGGCTGGGGAAAAACCATATCTGGGGCTGTGAGTGCCCCTGCACCCCACGGAGCCCCCAGCATGTGGCCATCAGTGAAAGAGGAGGCAGTCAGTGAAAAGCCGGTTGCCCAAACACAGGGGAAAGAGGCAGAGCTCAGTCGCTGATGCATTACTTATTTCTGAGCACTCTCCCTCCAGGAAAACAGGATCCCAGCTTGGCCGGCACGGGATCCATCTTCCTTGCCCTGGCCATGCAAAGGCACCATACACATTTCATGGGACGGTGAAACCCCCGACACCCTTGTGAGTGAAGCAAATACATACCGGGTTTAAATTCCACATGGAAATGGGCAAGGAAAACCAAACCAAAGCCCGAACCCTCCTGTGCTGTCAATGAGATGAATGCTGCAAAACACAACCCTGTCCTTTCACGCAGAGTACGCTGGATACGGTTATTACAGGCAAAATATTTGCACCCCTCGCTCTCCTTCTGGGAAAGCCCCTTTCCAAAGCAGAAGTGCACTGAGTGTTTCTACAGCAATAAGCTGCTTTCCGAGACCAAGAACAGGGACTAGACAGTTGGTAAAAATGGCTTTTCTCAGGTACCTGATAGCTGAGGCAATTAAAACAAAATTAAACTGACATTTCTAACTTGTACTGTTAAGAGAGAGATGCAGTGGTGAAATAATTAAAAGTTACTGCTGGGAACATCCTGTTCTCACCCATCTATTGTGAAGAACAAAAGGGCAAGAAGCATTTTTGGCTTTTTTTTTCCCCCTCTCTATTTTTTGATAATTAATTGCTAGTTATTGCTGCATCCCCAAATGCTAGAACCCAAGGGTTTTCCAAATGACGACAGAGATATTTAGTGGTTAGTACCTCGTTTCTCCAGTCTCACTTGGTGACAAACAACATTTTGCCAGCCAGATCCCCCTGCTCAAGTTATTCACAGGAAGGGCTCAGAGCTTCATTTTCTGGTTTACAGCACTTGCCTGAAAGGTCTTTCCAAGCAACTGCCTGGGAGCAGCTCCATGATGGGACTGCAGTCCCATCCCTTGCTGTCTCTTACTGTCCAGCGTCATTTGCTTCCCCACCAGTTACACCGGTGTATGAGCTGCATCTGAGCCTCTCAGGCAGGGGAAGTGGTCCTCTGGATGGGAACCCACCTTGGAGCATCCTCATGTAGACAGAACTTATGCTGCCTGCTCCTACCCAGAACTCAGCTGATGACCTCTGGAAAGGGACTTCCCAGCTGTTTTTCACAACTCCATGAACTGCTGCAGAGGTATCTGCAGCTACCTTGGCAACACAGTGCTCGGGAAGGAAGAGTCACCCCCGGCCTGAGCGCCCCATGGGACCAGAGGCGGGCCTGAAAGATGGGGAATGGCCAGGGGACACAACAGATGTGCCTCACTGACCTCTTCATTGCAGCAAGGGCCCTGGCATGTGTGAGAAAACAGAAAGCCCCTTCCACTTTTCTCATTAGCTAAAAGAAAAGAGTGGTATTTACTAAGTGCCTGCTCACCGGATGCCAGCCTCGTCAGAATCCGAGTCCCAGGATGCTCTTCACATGAACCTCATGCTTCTTGACACAACCCTAAGTCATCCTTACCCTCATCATTACCTCCAGCAGCCGTGTGCTTGGCTTACACTTCAGCCCATCACCCAAGGGCACCCCTGCCTCTGGCCCGCCCTTCCACCCTTCCTGCCATGCCAGCCCAACGCCAGGTTCATTTGCAGGAGACAACAACAGTATAGGAAAGTTCCTGATGCTTCCCTGAGTCAGAGTATCCCTGGATTTTAGTCGCTCTCATGCAGAGCGAGGCCGAGTATACCCTGGGCTGGTGTTTAGCACTGACCTTCTGGAAGGGAGAACAGGGCTCTGCGTGGTTTTAGGACAAGCATCCCCTTCACCCACAACGTGAGCAGGTAAGGGATGAAGCCCAGAACTGTAGCAGGTATGTGCTGCTCCAGAGTCTGTATCACTCTTCTTCAGCCTGTCTAACCTCCTGCATGCAAGCTCTTCCAGGAATGGTTTGGGGACCAGACTGGAAGAATAAGGAAGGTGCATGCTAGGCTGACTTCATCGTTTCCACTGCCAGGGGAGGTGGTCATGTTTTTTATAGGTCTGTACACAGTCAGCCAGCAAAATCTTTACAAGACAAGACAGAAAAGTCACTTAAAACTATTTCTCAAGGGTGTTTCCTGATGAGAGAAGCAGAAAAAACAATTACAGCGAACTGTGAAATAAAAAGAAAGTCAGGTCAAAAGACAGGCAAGTGCACAATGCAGTCAGCAAGGCTCTGCACTGGAAATTGCCAAAAGGCCCCCCAAAATGAGGGTATTCATACTCTCATACTTTTGAGAGTATGAATAAAACAGATCAAGCTAGGCCTTTCCTCACTCAGAGTTGGCCGTCTTCTGTCTCCATGGCAGCAAGAAATCACATCAATTTGAGGGAGCACATCCAAAAAGAGAGCTGTCCTTGTTTCCAGTTTGGAGAGGAGCAGAGGTCTTTCACCTTGCTGCCTTAGCGGGTCAGACCTTTACAGCAACATTACTGCCAGCATTACATCCCTGCACTTCGGGAGGATGTCCCGCATTGCTTGGAAGTTGCTTCTGGATTTCTTATTCTGCCCTTCATGGTGGTAAAAACCTGCTGTAGAGCTGAGCCCTGGTCCCAGACCACCTGGCCGTGCAGTGCTATTGAAGGCATGTAAATATATCTGTAAATGATGATATATAAATGTGCTTATAATAAATGTGCTTGTATTGTAACAGTATCGTAGCTGCCAAGGACTGTCCAGGCGGGGGGAGCCTAGCTTTATTTTTCCACTCTTGCAGTGACTACTGTCTGATCATCACAAACTGGATGCTGTGTCATAGTATGTGAACAGAGAAGGAAATAATGTACTTAAAATGAGGGATATTCTTTATGTTTACACGAACTCCCCAGTCCTAGAGCTATTTTAAAGCTGCTGTTGTATCTCAAGTGAATACACTGGAAATAAATACTCAATATCTATCTACTCATGCACGCCACGAACAGTCTAAAAGAAAATCTCTTGTGCTTTTAGCTCACGTGCTGCTGTGGTCTTGAGCAAATGCAGGTGTATGTACAGATGCATAGCGTATTTCAGTGTCTATTACTGTATGCAAAGACTCTGCACCTGCACATGTCTAGAAGTGAACCAGGACATGAGGTCTTGCAGCTACTCACAGATGTCTTCCTGTACCGCAACCCAAGCCTGCAGGTATCCCTAGGTTTGGTACGTGAGTAGCTGGCTGGGGGGAGGCTTTGCAGGGAGTGTGCAGGCAGCCTTGTCTCAGCAGGGTTCCACCTGTGGGACCACAGTCACAAACACAGACCTCAGCCTTCTCCATGTACTGCACTTCTGTCGTGCTCGCACGCCTCTGTGCTGTAACCGGGAGCTGATGTGCAGGTGAAGACAGGACGAACTAACCATCTGTACTCAGGAAATGCAGCCCCTGACCTCCCAGCTCTCTGAGAAGGAAGCATCTCCCAAAGCACACTGCACCAGGTGAAAAACATCCCCAGTCTGCTTGATTTGGCACCAGCAGCCAAGGCAGTGTGGTGCAAGTGCCTACATTTTCCCACAGTGCTCCAACACAGTCAAGCTTTCTGGCAAGGTCAGCTTTCATCCAGTAGATAAACGGCACCAGTAGATAAACACTGCACCAGCAGAAATACTTCCGTGGGGCTGCACTGAAGCACGTTACAGAGTACAGACTCTTCTCAATGCAAAAGTCAATGCCTTCTTTTTTTCAGGCTCCTGGGGCAAACCATTTTGCACAGTCAGCAGACAGACTTCTACAAGCCAGTTTATCTTCTTTTCAAACAAGTAAGATATAAACATGAAATCTAGCTAACAACTGGTCCAAGAGCTTCTTAAATGCAAGTACTAAGGCATACATACCAGCAATCTTCCTAAGAGGTCCCACAAGGAAGGTCAGTTAGATCACACTTTAATCTTGGGGTCTGGGAGACTGAATGCTGTATCATACCTTCTCTCAGTTCCCTTTCCCAAACAATGAAAACAAGTCATCCATCACTCACACCACTTACCAAGCAAAAGTCTTCAGACCAAAGCCTTTAGTTTTATAACAACTGCTGACACCTCAGGTTTTAGTAACTCCTCTTTCTAAATTGCTGTCAGTCCACCAGGCAATCCAAAGGAACCCACCGAAGTCACTAAACCATCGCTGCTGACACCTCCAGCAGTATTTTCAGGAGCAGCAACAATGGTCAAGGCATCAAGGAAGAAGAAAATTAGCACAACCTCTTTCAAGCAGGAAAACAAAAGGCTGGGCAAGCAGGTCAGCAAAACATGCTGACTCTTTTGGGGTAAAACTTACCACACTCAACAAAGAACATCCCCTTGCATCAAGGAATATGTTTCTTTTTAAAACATGCCAGGTAGTTATCGGGAATAGCTGTTAAATGGCAAGTTGGTGGCTAGGCTACCTTCCTGTTACCTGTGCATGGCTCTGAGCACAGGGACCTATTCCTTCAGAGTCCCTTGCAGCTAACAAGATGTGTGCTGGTAGCTTGTACAGAAACAGACCTGCTCAGAACTCCTGCTTTCAGATTTGAAGCATGTAAGCAACAATTAAGATAAAACCCTTAATAAGAAAAGAAGTGGGTAGCTCTGATGTTTTCTTCTAGCACATAAACAAGGGGAAAGCCATTACACAACTGCATGAGCACATTCATTTGACCACACCCTCCTCTGGAAAACAACATTCCCACATAGTGGGGGGCAGTGCAGCAGCACAGCCATCCTACAGTGAGTTTACAGGTGGGCTGCACTCTGTTGCAGAGACCTGTATTACCTGCTTCACGGGCTAGCTCCCATTCAGTGGTTGCTCTTTTAAGATGACTCTAACCTTGCACAGGCCCACAATTTTTTAACTTCTCAAAGCATCAGACACAGCTGGGAACACCAAAATAAAAACAGTGTTTTCCTTTCTACTTTCTATTTCCAGTATGTTATCCTAGTGAAATGCTATTCATCTGCCGTTCTGTTGGCGAGATCTCAGCCCCTGCTTGTTTTCAGTCTGTAAGTAGGAAAACCGTAGTGGGGGCTCCTTATGCCAACAGAAACTTTACAAGATCAGAGGCAGATCATCACACGATGAAGCCTCACTTTAAATAAAAGCTGCCTACTCCAGAGATTTCAGTGCCCTTTGCTCAGATTAACTGACAAATGATGGATTGCTTAATGCTCCCTATTTACATCAAAGACTCCTGCTTCAGACTCCTCCACGCTGGGAGAAGGCAAATAGTGTAAGAGGAGGATGATGGTATGCAGAGGAGCAGAAAGACTGTACAGTAGTAGCTTTTCTTTTGTGCAAGGTGCTGTATCTATACTCCACAAGCACGGGTCTATTTACCATGCAACACCTTTGTTAACAAAGTGAGAAAATAGTACCATAGCTGCCAAGGACTGGTCAGCAATTCCAGGTCAGTGAGGGCCAGGACTCTGCAGTGCTGGAGCTATTCTAACTTCTTAGTCTTGAGCCAACTTTCCTGTGATGGAAATGAGTTGGGTAGAAGCGATATAGTGAGGGGAGAGGAAAATTAGCAAAGGGTATTTCTACGTTCCACTGTAAACAAACACCATCCAGCAATCAAAAGTACCTGCACCATCAGGATCCCCTGCCTAGCTCAGAGCTCCAGCCCTGTGCCTGTGTCCGAATGCTTCCTGAAATGCCCCGACAATGAGACCCTGTGAGCGAGTCCTCTGCACAGCACAGCATCAGAGGGAACAGCTTCTTCCATGGCCTTTACAGACAAAAATGAGCTACAGATATACTGGCTACTCTGAACAAAGAAAAATGACTTCTGCTGAAACGACACACTTCAAAACCTCTCTAATGAAGCAATGCTGTAGAGCAGGTATATATGCTCACTATCTCTCTTCCTGTTTCAGCTAGATAGCATGACTGGCTATGTCTGTTGTAGGCTATCAGCAACTCAGAGTGACACTGTGAGAGTGTCAGGGCCTGGGAGAGATTTCCAAACCTTTATATGAAAAATGTAAAGTGCAGAAGTGACAATCTCTGGGTTAAATTAAGCTCCAAGGGATTTCCTATAGCTTGCACAGGAGTTAGTGGAAGTTTCTTTGAAGAGGGTTCAACACACTTTCCCAGAAACCATCACACATTTTAATTACTCCTTTCACACATCCAAGCACTTTATATGCAAGTCAACCTTCCAGGCAAGTATCTTTTTAATAACCTTTTAGTTAAGCCTGCTAGTTTTCATTTCACCAACCATTTACTCTTCCCATTAAACAGACCTTGTTCAGAACACTTTCACCATTATGCTCTTACAGGTACAAATTCCACCAACTGCTAACACCAAAAAGCAGAGTAACTAGATGTTCCCAATTACCGCAACTGTCTAAGCAGAACAGTCACACAACATAAAGGTGCGCATAGTGGTGCAGTTTAATTGGATATTAAAACCCTCTACAGCAAGAGCACCGCGTACCCAAGAGAGAAGCAGGATGCTGAAAAGGGAAGACTGTAGCCGAGAACTTCAAAATGGGTTTAGAAGATGAGGGTGGAAACTTAATGCACAATAGCTTCTGGAATGGCTTCCTCACCTTGCTATCCGCCCTCTCTCCAGGTCATTTCAGATTGTGTTGAACAGCATGGTCCCCTCAGAACAGCACTGATGAACTCTCTCTGCAGATCATTTACCCAGTCTCCTTTCAGCCAGGATTTTTTCCATGCAAATATCTTTCCTCTTAGAGAGACTAAGCAGCCCTCAGATAAGACCATCCCTTTGCTAAGAGGCCCCATCAAAAACCCTTCGGAAACCTAAAACCACACTGGAACTACCTGCAGAGGGGAGTCTGGAGAAGTCTCACAGCTGCAGCGAATGCATACGGTACACAGGGTCCAATCATCCCGGCTGAGGCATCTGCGTTACAAAAGTACATAATTTCAGAGACAACATAACACATCCCTAAGAAATGGGATGCAGATCAGTTCCCTAATCTGGAGACTTCTTTGAGGAATGAAATTAAAATGTCCCATTAGTGAGGCCGGGAGAATTAGTCTCCCATTCATAATCAAGCTAAAGTATTGCTGAGGACAGTGGTTCAGCTTGATCTGAGCTGAGGACCTCACATCACACACAGTACCCACAACTGCAAAACGCCTGCTCAGCTGTTGCATGGGTGGAAGGTGCTGAGCAGCCATCACCATTTTTTGCTCCATGAAATATGCAAACAAATGGCACAATCAGTACTTTACATTAAATAGCCTGGTAGTAAATGCAAAGGTACATTACCCCGAAGCTTTACTTTCACTCTGTTGCACAACTTCCTGATGAAAAGGCAGAACGCATTAGAAAAAAATTAGTGAAATTATGGCAGCTGGCAGGGGAAGGAAGCAAAGCTTTCTGACACAGAAAGGAAATTAGGGCTGCAACTAATGCTTCCACCACAGTGGTTAACAGTGGATTAAGTGTCATTATTAAGTTTCAGAGTTAAAAACCCCATTGTCATAACTGAGGCAATACATACCTCTTTGGAAGTTACAGCCTTAGGGTATTTGGCAGCACCTGCCTGAGTGTGCAAGGCTAGTTTCTAAGGAAATTTTTCTTCACTAACCATTTGAATCTAAATCAAAGTGAAGAGTCTAGCAGACACTTTGGGTAGTACTCAGACACGTCACAGAACACAAAACACGGTTTTGTTATGAGAAGCTTCCTTATGTGTGAAAACGTTTAAATGAAGAAGATTCCTATGCAACGAGTAGCAAAGGTGGCTTAAATTTAGTCTTCTGCTCTTTGAATTTTGTGTTCTCAAACATTTCCTACTGTAAAACTCAGCTGGACAGATTTAGAGTGCACAGTTCCATCAGAGACACAAATGTATTCAAATCCCTCACCCCAAGAACATGCACTGTCATAGCGAAAATAAAGCTTTTTCCATTATTAACAGACATTCAACTAATCACACAGAAGTGCGTAAGGGATTGGTACTCCCTTAGATAGAAATATTTATGAAATACAGCTGGTAACTGTTGAGTTTATTAAGGAACTGTTTTGTGGGTTTTTGTTTTTTTTTTTTTTTAAATAACCAACATGATACTTCCCCTCCAAATAAAAAGAAGTAATGGAAAGAAAAACTCAGCAGAATACAAGGAGAGAAGGGACAGAGGGGCAACTCTGGACTGTTCTGACTTAGCAAAGACCTGCAACAACAGATCTCCAAACCCAGTGCCAAAGAGCCATCACACTCAAGAGGGCAGGGCCAATTTATCCAGTGACCAAGACTGCAGAGAGAAGTCTCATAGCCCGTGCATCCTTGCAAAAAGCTCAAGCTGATGCATCGTCAGTTCAGTGAATTGAGACAGTGCTAGCACATGTGAGTCATTTCAGTCTTCTCAAGTCTCACATTTCATTACTCAGGGGTAATTAGGTTATTTTTTCATACAAAGCCAGTTTAAAGCCAGTGAGTGCAATCTCTACCAGTACAAGTTCCAGAGATCCCCGTGATGTAGCGTTCCCTATCAGCCACTGCTGGGAAGTGGGTCTGGACTGGCCAGAGCGCATGCAGTGGAGTGCTTTCTCCAGCCCAACTGAGCAGGCCTCATTCAGGTAAGAAGCGACCAAGGAGACCACAATCACAAATGAACTAAGAATTAAGATTTGTCCAATTTGTGTGTGCGCTCATGCCTCCGTAGGGTACCTGACTCGGTGAAGGAATGGCCACAGTAATTGCAAGAGTAGGGCTTCTCTCCAGTATGGATGCGGTGATGGCGCTGGAGCGATGCCAGCCGGGTGAACGTCCCTCCGCACTCCTCACAATAGAAGGGGCGCTCCCCAGAGTGAGTCTGCTGGTGTCTTTTCAGCCTGAGCAGCTGGACGAACGCCATGCCACATTCCTGACACTTATAGGGCTTGTCTTGTCGGTGGATCACCTTGTGTTTGGAAAGGAGGTTAGGCTTATCGAAACCTTTGCCGCATGTTGGACAGGCATAAGGTTTATAGTCGTCTTCCTCAGACTTTTGGTTTTCTGCACAAGGCTGATCAGCGTACTCAGCAGTGTGTTGGTTGCGGTGCACTATTGACCACGGGTTCCTAGCCATGCCATTTCCCAAGATCACCATGGAGCGCTCTATCTTGTGCACATTGCGCAGGTGCCTCCAGACATCAGCTGTGCGAATGAAACCCTTGTCACACTCTGGACATTTGTGTGGCCTGTCACTAGAATGAATGAGCTTGTGCATTCGCAAATTTGCTGCACGGAAGAACTCTTTGGCACAGACGGGACATCGGTATGAGTTTTCCACAAGGTGAGTTCGCTTATGTTCCTGCAGCTCGCTCATACCCTGGAAAGAGGAACCACACTTCTTGCACCGATACGGCAAAGCTTCCTCAGAGACAGACTCCAAGTCCTCATCAAACACATCAGCAAGAACGGTATTTTCGTTATCGTCACATAGCCTTCTCCGTGGTTTCTTGGACCGCTCAGAGGAACAGTGCTCTAAATATTTATCTTCACACTGCAGGTCAAAGTTGGTACTGGAGGGGACAAATACCCCAGGTGTACTCTCACCTCGTTTCTGGTAGTAGGTCTCACAGGTTTCTTTGTCTTCACACTGCAACTCTGCAGGAAGCTCCTGCTTACCTGAAGGTCCAGCAGAGTTGCAACGAGGACTGCACGTCTGCGAGTAACTCATGTCTACCTCCTTCTGGAGGCTAGATGTGTGGCCCACCTGCTTAGTGTTCTTTCTGGAGTAATTTGAGTGCTTCTCATCCGTGTCAAAAATGTTATTCTCAGAGTCCCAGTCCACACTGACATTCATCCTCTGAGGCGTACGCTGTGTTCATCTGCAGCTCATTGATGATGTATATACCAAGAGCTTCCGGTCTTTCATGGTAAGTCCATCTCATTCTTGGCTCTCTTTACAGTCCTCCCTAGAAAATAAAACATGCATTTCATCAGTGATTTTTCTGAGATTAACATAAGATAAAGTTATCACAGTGAAGATTTTTTTCTGATTAGAAGAATGGGACAGATTATTAGTTATGCAGTAGAAGAAACAGAATCATCTACTATTATGCATGTAGAAAATATACATTCAGCATACAAAATACAGACAGACTACGTTTAATGACAACAAATCCTCTATCGTAATCCAGCCTTCACTACAAATAGAAATTGATAATTTCCATTTTAAATTCACCTAAAGACGAGAAATCTTCAGAACTCAAGGGTGCAAACACTTTTGGCAAGTCCTACACCATAGCTGCCCCCACCACAGATCTTTTTCTGAGGATTCATGCTTAATCCTTGTTTTTACCTTGCTGAATACAAACTAGGAGCACCAGTCACAAGGTGTTTTTTTTCAGGAACTAGTTAGGTAATGCAATGAGACCCAGAAACTGTGTCAGCCAAACAGCCAAAACCAGAAGCAATGTATAGAAGGGGGGTCTGGAGAGCTCGGGAACACCTTTAGCCTCCCATCCTGACTAGCATTATTGTTACTGTCTTGAGGATATTTGGGGTCCCTGTGCCACTGCCAGCTAGCACCATGCAAAGAAGACATATGCAAGGAAAGGCATGAAAGAGCTGTCCAGAAGGCTCACTAATCATCCTCCCAGGCTTCAAAGCACAGCTAGTAATGAACAGCTTCAAATTCTCTGGGTAAAATCCCTTTGCAGACCAGCCTTGCTAGCAGAAAATATGAGCAATGGTAATTGGTCAGAAATACCTGTCTGAGTCACAAACTTTCTTGTGAAGAAGATGCTTTCGTTTATGCCGTTATCAAAGTGTGGATTCGCAAGAGGTTTTCTGGATTTGTCCAGGCAGCCTGTTGACGGCAGCTCCACAGGGAGCTTTCACTCATCTGGTTTAAACCTGCATTCAGGTTTAGACCCGCTAGTCTAACCTCAGAAAGTGCATTTTTCCCATCCTGATGGACACCTTGGCTGCTCCTCCGACCCCCACCTTCTCCTTTACACCCATTTTTTCCATATTGTCTTTGCTCCCACTGTTTCTTCACTTCCTTTTGACTGTTTTTGTCTGGGTGAGACTCCTCTGAGTATGAGCACATATATCTATGTAAAAATGGACATATTTCTGTATTTACATGTGTACATAAAGATTGCCTATTTAGCTTCAGTAGGTTTAAATAGTTATAAGGGCACTACAGCAATGTGCATTAAGTGAAAGGTCTTATTCACATCTCAGAAAGGCCAGCTTCATTTGAGACACAAGCTGCGCTTTCTTCTGCTGTGATACAGAGAACAAGCTGAATTAGTCTTCTTCATTAGTCACTGCCTGGAACAGAATGGCTCAAGTCACCCCCCAACTTCGACCGTTCCCATTAATTTAATAACGCGCGCATGAGAACAGAACTATTCCTCACCTCCTGCAAGGGGCTGAGCACCTCCAGCAGCACACCGCCGACTCCCGAGCCGCGTAACTGATCTCCTATTTCCTTTGTCGAAGAAAAAAACTTTTCAAGGGAGCCTGGCACCGCTTGGCTTAGGAAAACTCCCTGACAAAGGCCCGTCCGGTTTCCACGGGGGGGGGGGATATTTAAATCACGATGTAGGCTTAAAAATAATAAATAAAAATAAAATAAACAAACGAACGATTTTTTGTTCCAGGCAGAACGAAACCCCAAACTTTTCCCGCTGGCGCAGGGGACCGTCCCGCTGCGCGCGCAGA